TGTCCATCAACTGATGAATGGATAAAGAAATTGTGGTTTATATACACAATGGAATACTACGTGGCAATGAGTAAAAATCTTAAACATTTTAAAAATAAAACCTTAAAATATATATATGTATATGCATATACATATATGCACACATATATATTCTTTCATTCTCTCTCTCTATATATATATGAATAAATATACAGAGAATGAATGAAAAATAAATACCAAAATACCAACTGGTAAAAATTGTTTATGCTTATTAGTAGTCAAAGATTATGGAAAATGAAATAATACACAACCTTACCTTTCAGTTTTAAAACAAAAATGTTACTAATGGTACCAATACCAGCAAGAGTGCAGGGATCTAGGCTGGTAGGACCACAAATGTGGATAGCCTTCCCAGAAAGCTGTTGGCAATATGTGCCAGGGGGCTTACAATATCCCCCTCCTTGGATCCATCCATTGCACATTGTTGTTTGCTGTATTGTGTCCCCCTGCCCCAAATTCATATGTTGAAGCCTTGTATGAGTAGCTCAGAATATGACTACATTTGGAGATAGGGCCTTTAAAGATTAAGTCAAGGTAAGACCATTATGGTGGGTCTCATTCCAGTCTGACAAGTGCCATTATAAGAAAAAGAAATTTGGACACACACGGAGCGATGCCAGAGATAGGCTCACACAGAGGAAGGACCGTGAAGACACAGCAAGTAAGTGGCCATCTGCAAGCTGAGAAGAGAGGCTTTGGAAGAAACCAAACCTGCTCACACCTTTATCTCAGACTACTAACCTCCGGAACTGTGAGAAAATAAATTCCTGCTGCTTCAGTCACCCAGTCTGTGGTATTTTGTTATGGCGGCCCGAAAAAACTAATACACATGTCTAGAAACTTTCTCTCAAAAAATAATCAAAAATGTGGTTCAAGATTTGTAAAGCTACTAAAAAGACATGAGGTAAATTTGTATATATTATTCCATTTATTATAGGTAATACAGAGTCCTTGGTGCTTTGGATAAACTGGGGAGCTAAACAGGCACAGTGTCCTGCAGAGAGATGATGTCTGCATAGGAGAAGGACACTAAACACAAAGGGCATATGCCTACAGCCTTGGCCAAATGCTGTAAAGGAAAAGTTCAAGGTGCCTTGAGAGGATATAATAGGGTAAAATAATGTATGTTTGTGTGGGTGCTGGAGTGGCTAAGAGGATCGGGGAGACTTTTGTGAAAGTGTGATGATTAAGATACAATCTGAAGGATGAGCAGGGTTAATTAGGGAACAGGGAACACTTTTCTGCCTGAGGATGAGCCCCATATGTGCCACAGAAGAGCTTGCCGGCTGGAAGGAAAAGAAGCTCGCTGAGCGGGAGTGCCTGGGAGGAGGGAGGTGGGAGGAGGGCTTGAAGCAGGATAACATTGTAAGATGGACAACCTTAAAACATACCTGAATGTTTTGAAAGGGTTTCTTTGTGCCATGGAACTTTTTTTTTTTTTTTTAGTATTTTCTAAGTTTTCTGCAGTGATCATGTATTATATTATCGAGAAAAAAATGGTACTTTAAAAACTTGAGACTGAGACACAGAAGAACACATACTAAATGACTCCACTTGCATGAGGTCTCTAAATTCCTCAAACCCATAGAAGCGAGGAATAGAGTGGTGGTCGCCAGGACTTGAGAGAAGGGGGAAACAGGCGGTGGCGAATCAATGGGTGTAAAGTTCCAGTTATGCAAAGATGAATGAGTTCTAAACATCTACTGTACAGCCTTGGACCTCTAGTTAACAATACTGTATTGCACACTTAAAAATCTGCTAAGATGGTAGATCTAGTATTAAGTGTTCTTGCCACAATAAAATTTTAAAAATAAAAATTTTAGGGGCGCCTGGGTGGCTCAGTTGGTTGAATGTCCAACTTCGGCTCAGGTCATGATCCCGTGGTCTGTGAGTTCAAGCCCCTCATGGGGCTCTGTGCTGACAGCTCGGAGCCTGGAGCCTGCTTCAGATTCTGTCTCCCTCTCTCTCTGCCCCGCCCCCGCCCCCCACTAACGCTCTGTCTCCCTCTGCCTCAGAAATAAATAAACATTAAAAAAAAAATTAAAAATAAATAAATAAATATAATTTTTAAATTTGAGGTTGGATATGAAATGAGAATGTTTGCACAAAGGGCCTAAAAGAATGGCAAGAGTTATATACTTAATCTTATATACTTAATATTTCCTATCAGATAGGTTTTTCCAGTTGTTTGTTTTTGTGTGTGACTTTGTGGGAAACAGGCTTAAAAGAGGTCTCTAATCGATTACAGGGAGAAGTTCCCATTTTTAAATATGCTTACTTACCATGCAAGCTCTACTTTTGGAATTTTATATGCCCTTCAAGTGTAATTTTCCTGGCAAAGACATGAAACAGTGCCCTAGCTTATTTTTATGTAGCTTATTTTTACCAAGTACGTACATATCACCTCCACAGCCATGGACTAGCCTTAGAGGTTTCTCTCCCACACTGTGAGTGTGGGCTCTTGCCCATGGGATGGGATCCTTCATTTTGAGCTCACCAGCTGGGGTCCCAGATGACAGAGTGACAAAGCGTGTACAGACACTGCCTTCAGAGCAGTCACTGTCCAGTTCCCAGTTCTGACCCAAGGCATAGGTTCTCACTTTAATTAATTAATTAATAAGAAATAGGTGGGGCACCTGGCTGGCTCAGTCCGTGGAGCGTGTAACTCTGGATCTCAGGATTGTGAATTTGAGCCCCACGTTGGGTGGAGAGATTACTTAAAAATAAAATCTTTAAAAATTATAATAATAAATAAATAAAAAGACATTGGTTATGTAAAATTTTCCTCTGGAGAGCTTAACTACTTGATATTCTTTGTCTTGGCTTTAATTGCAATCACCCTTCACTTGTACCCCTCCTGCTCTCTGTGTAAATACAAGCCCCTGAGACACCCATTAACACCAAAATGAGAAACAATGAGGAGAAAGTTCCAGGTGCTGGGATAATAAGACCCATGTTAAGTCCTAGTGCACAGTACCAGAGTACCACACTCTCTGGGGACCATGTCCTTGACCTCTGACCTCAGAACAAATCCTGAGAGGGAATCATCCTTCCCTTTTACAGATGAGGAAAATGAATCTTAGGTCAGCTAAATGTCTCGCCTAAGACTTATGCATGCAGGTGGAGAGAAAGAGAAAGGGTAAGCTTTATGGTGTCTCTTCTTATAAGAGTAGTAATCCCATCTCACCTCATGAGCTCATCTACACCTAATTACTTCCAAAGGCCTCATCTCCAAATACCATCACATTCGGGGTTAGGACTTCAGCATATGAATTTTGGAGGGTTAGCAGGGGGAGGGGGCGACATCAGTCCATAAACAGAACATATGCCAAATGCCAACCACCAGTATAAAATTACCTACTGTCTTCCCATTGTGATATAAGAGAGAAAGAGAAACATTAGAGACAATGAGGGAAAGGCAAAATGAAAGACTCTAGAACTTTTTGCAGTACTTAACTAAAGCATCATCTGGAAAAAAATTCCCAATTTTCAACACTTCCAGCACATAATAATAAGAAGCATAGGTGCTCATTAGGTACCAGGCAATGTCCTAATTACATTATATAAATTACTTATTGAATCTTCCCTACACCCTTATGAGGCATATGCTGTTCCCATCAGTCGCCTTTACATATGGTCAGAGAGACGTAGGTAACTCAGTCAGTTACGCTGCTAGTGGCCGACCCTGGGTGGCTGCCTCTGGAGCCCTCCCTTCATCCTTCTCTACTCTGCTGCCCTTCCAGCGACTCCTCTACATCCGGTAGAAAATAGAAAACAAATCCATAGAGCGTAGAGTTGTCACTGTTGCCTGAAACTCTATCACTAGTTTCATCTTTGGGATTAAGGCATTGTCTCCTGTTGAAATTAAATATAAATTTAACCTGAAAAACAAGAAACCACGGTTACTCACATAACTTTAGGGCATTCCTTCTCCTCAGGTTTATGAAAAATCCTCTGAGGGGGCCATGCCCCGCCCGCTCCATGTAGTGAACAAATGCGGGCAAACCACCCCTATGGTGAGATACTGTAATGGTGACAGTGTGTAGCCATACTCAGGTCAGTCAGGATAAAAATGAAAATTATAAGTGTCTTCTATTGCTTTAAACTGAGACCATGAAGAGAGAATATAAAAATGGTTAAAGGAGATTATTTATTTATTTATTTTGAGGGACACAGTGTGCGTGGGGGAGGGACAGACAGAGAGAATCCCAAGCAGGCTCTGGGATGTCAGCACAGAGCCCCACACAGGTTTTGAACTTAGAAACTGGGAGATCATGACCTGAGCTGAAACCAAGAGTCGGGTGCTTAACCAGCTGAGCCACCCAGGTGCCCCAAAGGTGATTATTTCTAAAAAGAAAAAAATGGGGACACATAGGTGGCTCAGTCCGTTGAGCATCCAGCCTCTGCTCAGGTCATGATTTCTTGGTTCATGGGTTCAAGCCCTGCCTCGGACTCTGTGCTGACAGCATGGAGCCTGCTTCGGAGTTTCTTTCTTTCTGCCCCTCCCCTGCTTGTGTTCTCTCTCTCTCTCTCTCTCTCTCTCTCTCTCTCTCTCTCTCTCAAAAATGAATAAACATGAAAAAAAAATTTTAATCCCTTGGGTGCAGACAGGTAGAGGCTTATTTTTATATCCCCTCAAATGATATCATGTGGGCAAGCATATACTGTGCCTACCTTGGAGCATAGAGGAAGCACTGAGAAAGCATTTAGAATTAGCAAAGCTAGGGGTGTCGGAGTGGCTCAGTTGGTTATGCACCCAACTTGAGCTCGGGTCATGATTTCATAGCTCCTGGGTTCAAGCTCCCCACTGACCAGCTCTGTGCTGACAGCTCAGAGCCTGGGGCCTGATTGGGATTCTGTGTCTCCCTCTCTCTCTCTGCCTCTCCCCCACTCACACTCTGTCTCTTTCTCTCTCTCTCAAAAGTAAATAAACATTAAAAAATAAATAAAAAAATAGAATTAACAAAGCCCTCGGCCAGGGAATTTGGTTCTTCCTTGAAGGCTCCTTTCATTTAGCATAATCTCTCTTTCCATAGGCCCAAACTGTGCCAAAGGATGGTAAGAGAACCATGGTAAGGTACAGAAGATGCCTAGAAAGCTGAATAGACTAAAGTCTTTAAAATCCGCTTTCAAAGAGCAGAATAAATAAGGAATACAGAAACTTTTACTTGTGGCGCTGGAGGTACAAGGCACATCAGTCCAGTTAATGAAAGGGACTTCATATCACTTCATTTTTTTCCACCAAGAACATCAGGACAGTAAAGTTAGATTTTTAAATTCACTTTAAATCAGCAATCATAGATCATTAAACTGAGGCTTGTTAAAAAATAGTGTTCTCTAAAAAGGACCACGCTCTACCCCTTGTCTACCTTGTTCTTTCTGACAAATTGTATTTTCTACTAGACTGGAAGTTCCACAAGCTCAGAGATTTTGTTTGTCTTCTTGTGCCCTATAAGCCTATAGAGGCTTGCATAATGTCTGGCACATAATAGGTATTCAATAAATATGTTCAATGAATCAAGGCTCCATCGCTATGGTTGTGCGGGAATCATGAGGCTGAAAGCCATATTAGAAACCACATTCAAATGGGAAAGAAGGAGAAAACTCTTCTCTTCCAACGCATGTAATATTGATGGATACAGGTTACTAATAGGTTGTGAGAGGGAAGAGCCTTAGATTGGAGCAGTGGGGAGAGAAGAAAAGAGATAAGGCTAAGAGTAAGCTTTTCTTTTTAAGTTATTCATTGAGCTCAAAGCAAAACACACACACACAAAATGAAAACCTAATGGTTCTCATATATCTAAGGTAAGAAAAACCTGAGTACATTTTAGAATTCGAACAGTTAAGTATCCAACTACAGGCTCTCTTCATAAATATGTGGCATAATGTGACCAGAGGTGGAGATTCAGACCCCTGACTATTTCCCAAGACTCTGCTCACCTCACTCTGGGTCCCCTGCTCTGTATTCTGTGCTTATGCTCTTGCTGTTCTATTGAATAATGTGGTCATTTTTATTCCATGCTTTGCATCCTTAAATAAGCACATACTTTCTGCATGTTAGTCTGATAATTATGGAAGTCACTGTTGACTAAGAGAATCTGAAGAGGTTAATTCAGGCAAATGCTCAAAGCTAGTATGAGCAGGAAAAGATATATGGACATCTTTTAGAAATGTCATACATAACAAATTCCACCCTGATAGTTTAAGGCAAACAGCACTGAAACCTAAAAATGGATTCTCTAAAAAGGGTGGATTATCTCAGTATTAAAAGTCTAATAAATCCTAAAATTTATTCAACAAAACTGTATTTTAAAAGTCATGTGTCTTCTTTTGTTTTCCTATTTTCAGTGGCTCCAAAGGGCTGTTGAGATAAATAGCAAATCAGAATTTTTCTCTTTGTTTCTCCCTGGTCCTCACTATCTGGAAACTGGAAACTAATTACACTTCTGGTTCACACATTGTGAATACCTCACTCGAAGTGGAACATAAGAGATTAAAATTAGAGTGTGATATGCAGGTGTTCATTTACAACAGAATCATGGACAGTTAGCACTAGAAGGGTTCCCAGGGATCATCCAGTCCAGCCTCTCTTCTTTTTTAGTTAAGGTACCTGAAGCTCAAAGAGCTGTTGAAACTTGCCCTTAGTCCCTGAGTATGCATTTGGTAAGAAACCTATTTTCAAATATTTGTGTCTCAAAGACATTCCTCAAAACTTGCTGGTCAGTGGGAGTATAAGAGATTTTGCCTTACACACTTTTATATCCCTTATAAGCATTAAGCATCTGAGAACTCTAGGGATAAAAATGAAATAAAATAACATTACCCCAAAACTTACTTGTTTCTGGGGTTGACAGAGGCAGAAGGTTGAGAATGTATTCTCTACAGCTGGAATTCTAAGTGACTCATGAAAAAGAAAAGCTGTATTATTGTTGTGTAACTGGGAAGCAGAGGACACGTGTGTCTGCAGTGGAGTCTTCTAGCACCGCAGTTGAACAAAGAGAACCACTGTCTGCACCTGCTGCAGAGTCCTCACCTGGTCAGGCCCACCCACTCCCCATCAGGGGCTTTCCTGCTTGCATCTTGCTCCCTAGACATTGGGTGTTTGCCTTGCTGAGGGCAGGACAATTGTGGCTCCTTCTACCCTCAGGAAACCAAAGGGGAACCAGAAGAAAAAGGATATCAAATTTTTTCAAAGGTGGTGATTTATTATGTGGAATCACCAATTCTTCAGAGGTTATCAAATAGTGGAGCTTATTTTCAGTATTTTAAAAAGACTATAGGAAATCACACATTGACCCATGCCGATGCTGCACAAACTATAATATCAAGTGTCTTTCCTTTGGCTTGAATTATATTAACCCTCAGAAGGATTGTCTCAGGTTTATCAGTAGCTCCAAATCGTAGTTAAAGATATCTTAGACTACTAAAAATGAAGAAATCTTTACCTAATAGATGCACATCAGTTCCCCTGGAGAACAAGATAAAGTAATAAAAGGGATTTTTGTGGATATAAAAAGGTTTAGAAGTACTGCTTTTTAACCAAAGAAAATTTTATACCAAAGGCCTCTTCAAAAATTATCCAATAGAAACCCCCCTCCCCTAGTCCAGCTCTCCCCTGGTTCTCTGATAATAACTCACTGGGCAGGGCAGGGAGGTTTTCCTGTAACTGGCAGCTTGTGATCCATGACGGTCTCGGAGTCCTCTCTCATTCTCTTCTATCCAGCTGTGACCCCAGAAGCTGCTCATCCATTTGGCAAAAGACACATCATCATCATCATCATCATCATCTTTGTGCTCCATGTATAGGTGATTCAAGGTACTGAAGGCCTGTCCCTAGATCTGACAGAGAGCAATATCATCCAACAGGGCTGACTTGATGAAACCCAGGATCTCCCCCAAAAGACAAAATGAAACTGGTATTTTCAAATGCTCTCCGATAATGGGATTCTTAAGGGAGAAAGATTTACTAAACAACCACTTCACCATCAGGCAGCCTCAGGGAATGTCTATTTATAAATTGTGCAGCCCACATTCCCTCCCCTCCCCCTGTCTTTTTAAATTGAGGCTTTTTAATCCTTCCATTGCTGGGGCTTGTGCCTCCAAGCCTAAGGGTGGGAAGCACAGTCCACTGCCTGGTTTTCCCTGTGCTTTGCTGCCGATGGCATGTGATGGCATCTCCAGCTGTCAATGATGATGGAGCATGACCTTATAATATGCCTGTCAGCTCCAGGCTAGTTCTGAAATGGGGCCACTTACAAGGGACAGACTGACTACAGCCTGCTAGATGGCCAGCTTTTGGCATGTTATATTGTCTGCTAGATACACTCCTAGTAAATAAAACTGCTATTGATACAAAATCCTGGGATTAAGGGAGCATTTTTTTTTACTGATGTATCATTTATATCTGCATAAATGTAAATAATATACATGTATGCATATAATGTACAAATATTAAGTGTTCAGTTTGATGAATTTTTTACATGCATATACCCATATATGATCACCACCATGCAGGTGAAGACAAAACATTTTCAGCATCTCAGCTGGCTCCCTTTGTCCTTCCTCCAATCCATCCTCCCTCCAAAAGGTTATGACTTCTGGCTGCTGACTCTATAATTTTGCCTGTTTTTGAACTTTGTTTCAATGGTATTATACAGAATGTATTATTTCATATCATTCAATGTTATATTGGTGAGATTTATCCATTCTTTTGTAGTAATGGTAGTTCATGCCATATAGTACTGCATTGTATGAATATCCCACATTTTAAAAAATTCAGTCTACTAACTGATGGTCATTTTGGGCTGTCATTTGGATTGTGTTCAGGTAGAGCTATTATAAAAAGCTTCTATAAACACTATAACCTTGCCTTTTAGTGGGCATTTTTTGAGATAACAGGAATAATACATTTATTAAACCCCTGCTTTGTACCAGGTATGAAGTCAAATATTTTACATATTTGTAAATGTACATATTTTTAAATGTATCCTGGGAGATTTGTATCACATTTTATATATAAGGACAGTGAGATTCAAACAGATCATCACTTGCTCAAGGTTAAATTACTACTAAGCAGCATAGCCAAGTTTGAAGCAAGGAGTAGAATAATGAAGTCCAGACTCCACCATTCCACCAGTATTCCAAGAAAACTTTGAGAAATCTTGCATTTGTAAACAGAGGTATTCTTGGCCATTTCTCATATGAAAACTCTTTGAGCTGCAAAAAGACATGCTTAATAATTGTGACCAGTGTTTCTAGAGCATGGTACCACAATTTCTAAGTTGCTAAGGGAAAATAACCAAAGCATAAAATAGCTTGCAACATTTTTACTTCTTGTTTTAAATAGTGAGAGATACAGGCTTGTAACTTTGTATATTTTTATTACAGAATGTAGAAAGCCTGCTTCTCAATGGCCCAGATGAGAAAAGTTATAACTATAAATGTATGCAACCACTATTGGTTGTCTCTATTATTAAAGAAAGAAACATGGTAACTTCATTGGGGAAGCAGGATAGTTATGTCCACAAAACTTAACTATGGATAAACCTCTTCTTTTCTATTCCTCTTAAGACAGGAATGTCTTTTCTTCCAATTTTTGAAACAAAAATAATAAATCTATGACCAGAGGATTGAAAAACCAGAACAGGTCATACCTAATTATTGCTTAAAAGTATTTTCAGGAAAAGAAATAGGACATTATTTTAAAAACCTCTTTGAGTGACATCTATGTCTTGGAGTTCTGAACCCTTCTTATATTGGGAAATGTGCAGATAAAGTTATAAATATGGACATTTATTATGTGGAATTGGCTTATGCAATTATAGAGGTTGATAAGCCTCACAATCTACCATCTGCAAACTAGAGACCCAGAAAAGCCAGTGGTGTAATTCAGTCCAAGTCTAAAGACCTGATAACCAGGGGAGCCAATGGTGTAAATCCAAGCCCAAGGGCAGGAGAAGATGAGATATCCCAATTTATGAAGTGAGGTGGGAAAAAAGGGCAAATTCCTCCTTCTGTCCTTTGTTCTCATCAGATCCTCAACTGATTGGATGAGGCCCACCACACTGGGGAGGACAATCAACTTTATTGAGCCCATCAATTCAAATGCTAATCTCATCTAAAAACACCCTTACAGACACATCCAGAAATAGTGTTTAATCTGGGCACCCCATAAAATTGACATAAAATTAACCATCACAGGCACTAACCCCATTCATGAGGGCTCCACCCTCTCATTTATCTCCCAAAGCCGTTATCTACAAACCATCATATTATATTTAGGCTTCAACATATGAATTTTGTAGGATTACAACATACAGCCCATAGCAGGGTCCCCACATAAACAGCACCCATTAAAAACCATGGGCACTAAGTCCCAAATGAGAATGTAGACACTTCACATGTGTTGCCAAAACTCATTACTGGAGAAATTAAACACATCCTATAATAAGGCTTCAATGGAAAAAAATATATATATATTTTGGAAGCTTGTGCCTGGCTTTCTTCAGACTTCACCCAACATGCCCTTTACCATTTTAGATTTTACTTTGTATCCTTTCAGTGTAACAAATCTTATCCATAAGTATAACTATATGCTGTGGATTTTTCTAGCAATCTTTAAACTGGGGTGCCAGTTGGTGTCAGAAGTGGGATTCATTAAAAACAGCTCTGACTCACTGAAATATGGCTAAAACAGTGTTTGGAGAAAGGAGGTATGAAAGGGATACAATTGTGAACCTTCACCTCCCAATGGCCACCTAGTCACCTGTGGCATGAAACAGCAGCGGAGATGATGTCTCTTGTGAAAGGTGAAGGTTACCTATGGAATTAAAAATGACAGATCCAACCCTAGGAGAATTGGGTTTATTGGCTGCTTTCGGCCATGGTAGCTAAGGTGAAGGAATTAAAAAGTGCAGGCTGAGTGACATCTTTAGGTTTTGTTCTGTCCTTCAGGTGGGAGGAGAAAGGGTTCAAACATTCCTTTAAAACATTTTGTGTGAGCCAAAATGTTGTATGTTTGCATTGTTCACTCCTCCAAGTGGGAGGAAATAAGATTAAGTCAGTTCCAAGGCTGGAGAAAACTTTACACGAATTAGGAAAAAAAGACAGAGACGGGGGGGGGGGGGAAGAAGAGGGGAAAAATAACAATCTACCCACTGGTGCAGCAGCCTGTTGCATTCCAGCTGGGATCTGTCAGTAGTTGTAATGTTAATCCCTAAAAGTGTTGAATTTACTGCTAAGGTTTGAGTAAACTTGCAACAAAAAAAAAAAAAAAAAAAAAAAGAAAAGAAAAAGAAAAGAAAGAAAGATTAAGAAACTTTCTAAAATGTGTTTATTTTTTGTTTTATGGCTATTGCATCTGGGTATATAATTTTTTTAATGATTAAAAAATATATGCTTGTAATTTCATAAAGGCTAGAAGGATTATTCTAATCTGGTGAAGTCTCCCAATAAAAGTGTTAATATAACATAACTTTCTTGTTTGGATGGATTAAAAATTTAAACTCTTTGAACTTCTGAATATTGAAATCTTCATAACTAATTATTTTTGCTATGATTTTTGCCTGTTGGACCCTATGAGAAAAGGCAGACAACAGAAAGAGAAATATTCTCCACAGGAAAATACAGTTTTTGAGGTTTAAAAAGTAGTTTTTTAGCTTGATAATAAGTTTCTGTAAAATCAGAGGTCTGACTCTTACAGGCTGGTGATTTTCTAGACTAAGTGTGTATATTTTTGAGTAGGTCAATTTGAACTCTAAGTCCAACAAGATAAAGGGGGCTTAAAAAGCCTTGGAACACCACTGTCTAACCTGTAGTCTCTCACCTTTGCTGCTGTCAAAGAAAAGTCATTGGCTTTTTGGAATCCTGAATTCAGAGATCCTAATTGCCTGTACCCGATGGTATGCTGAAACCTAACAACATCTGTAACAGACAGTTCCAATCTTGGAAAGTAGACATAGGCTAAATGAATCAAACAGACTCTAAGACGACTGAAGACTTAAGACACCCCTCTGTAGGGCCAGAAACATTGTGGATGCTGGCTGGACCACATGGGTCACCTGTAGATACCCACTAGGAAGGGCTCATTCTCTGATGGGACCATCTGAAACCAAGCTGCTAGTGGCTGTATATTTCTAACGCAGGGGCTAATTGCATTTGAGATGAATGATCACAAGGAACCTAATGTGTGATTCCCATTGAAAGCTGTTAAGTTGGAAGACAACACAGAATGTAGGGTAGACCTTTCCACTCCACTCCTGACAGAGGGGGGGGGTCTCCTCTCACCTGCTGCTCAGGAATGTCTCATTGCTGTTGACTTATGTCTGACTTTCAAGATTATTTGAAATTTGCAACGACAGACTGATAGCCTGATTCTACTTTACTTACCTTTCTCCTTAGTTAGGCAGTTTGATTATTAAATGTAGCAATTACCAAACAAAGATTGTTCTTTTTCAGGCTGATTACTGAATAAATGATCAGGATGAAAAGGGTGAGGGTTATGTAAACATGTTCTGAAAACTTTTGAAAATTCAGGATTTTTTCCTAACCAGTTCCTGAAGATGATATGTCTTTCTGGTTAAGTTATATTAACAGTGTTTTTCTGTGTAAATTCTTCTATCCCTCTGTTATGAATTTGTTAAATTATCACTTATTAAGTGGAGCATGGGATGTCAGATGGTGAACTGTGGTTCAACAACAGACCACAAGCAGAATTAAAATAGAGAAGTTTTTTATTTACAGGTCCTGGAGGAAGTACCTGGCACACCTTGAGGGCTATTGTGGGGAGGTCATGGCAGAGTGCCGACAGAGTGAAGCAGAAGCTGGGACACATGTTTTTA